TTGAAATATATTTAGCAGGCTAGGCACAGGTTTCTACCTGCGTTGCTACTGGCATGTGGGGACAAGCAGCTACAGAAAAAAATTACTATTTCACTCTTCTATTAGTATTCATAATTTTTGTCACAAGATTTGATTTTCTTTAAAAAGAAACCTACACCTCAAAAGGCATTACATATGTATTGTTACACAGGAGTCAACATAAACAAATATTGTCTCTTACTCCCTATAAACTGTATCTAGACCAGATAATTTAAATATTGGCCTAATTTGGCCTTTACAGTTATGAATAGAATGTTAAGTTACCAATTATTTGCTTAAAAACTGACTTTATAGAAGTTGATTTATATTTGTTGTTGTTGGGTGCTGTTGATTCCAACTCATAGCGACCCCATTTGACAGAGTAGAATTGTCCCATAGGGTTTTCTTGGCTGTAATCTTTACAGGAGCAGATCACCAGGTCTTTCTCCCTCAGGGCCACTGGGTGGGTTAAAACCACCAACCTTTCGGTTAGCAGCTGATCGCTTAACTGTTGTGCCACCAGAACTCTTGATATTTTGTCATGTTCATAATCCAATCAGGTAGCTAATATATACAAATCAGATTCTTAAATGTTTTTTTCATTTTTTGCATTGAGTTCCAGAAGCAGTAAGAAACACAGCTCTGGGAGTGCCTCTGGGCAAAAGATAAAGGTTATAGTTTGTGGAAGTGGTAATTAGAGCAAATTACAACTTGACTTATCTGCTTTGTCATTAAAATACCTGTCAAGAGCTCTCATTTTCTAAACAGAGGAAAAGAAAAGGTATAGCTTAGTGGTGGAGAGGGTTAGCAAAGGCAAGGGGTTTCTAATTCTGTTCGAAAACTTGCCATTAACTTTAGACAAATACATTGCTTTTTGGCTTCAAACTGTGCTTACACCCTAACTCTTGGCGCTGAAAGGGACCTCAGGAAATCACCGATCCAGTCCCTTGCCTTCAAGCAAGTAAGGTATTATTACAGTCCTATTTTTCAAATGAGACACGAAAGACCCAGAAAACTTAAATAACTAGAATGTCTTCTGCCTCCTAAGTACAATGGATTTGATTTGGGTCCCACTTTTAGCTTAATTGTCCATGAGAAAGAAAGCATAGTTATTCTCGCTTTTCTCACAGATATGTTGTATACAGGTTAACACATAATAACCACAAAGCACTCTGAAAATACCAAGGGAAGCTTATAAATATTACCAACAGAGATACTAGCTTCTCGAGGAAAAGTTAACAGGAATGGATTTAGCTCTTTGAAGACTGGCTTGAGGAAGAACTAGAATTAGTCAACTTAAGTGGACCAATCTCACTTCCTGCAAATATGTATAAGGGTATAATTATGGGTAATAATAATAAAAATTAAGACAAAGAATGCTATTAATGGACATATTAGGCTCGAGAGAATAATAAGGCATTAAGTGAAATTTTGTGTATGGAATCAGAAATCCTGAGCAAAGCAGACTCTTTGGGAACAGGTAAAGGAAAACTAACAGATTTTTCTTACAATCTTAAAGTTACTATCCTATACAAACGCTAATGATTTCTCCTTTTCTTCTTAAAATTCTGTCTGGTCACTGAATGCCAGGACTCATGATCTACCTTCCTGTCTCTAATCTTTCTTCACCTTGCATTCTAAATCATTCAAATTCTCCACGCCTAAATAATCATCTTTACCTACTACTTTGAACACATCACTGGCCTCACAAACCGCTGTTATCCTGTGTATTGGATTACTCATTCAGGCTTTTAAGACCCTCCATCAGTCAACTCCAATCTAGTCTGTCTCTTCCCTGATGCTTCTCTTTGTTCTTTCAATACTTTCTCCCCATATACCTGAAACAAATCCCATCCATCCAAGCCCTCTCTCATCACCTTTCTTGAAAACCAACTGATGAGGACTATAGGGAGGGAGTTGACCCCCCCCCCCTTAATGTGTTTCCATCAGGGAAGGGCAGCGAGCAGAATGCTCAGGAGCAGAATGTGGGATTAATAAGTGTTGCTGAGTAGATAATCCTTGTGATATATAGTAGTTCTAAGTAGTTAAGAGGGCCTGCACTATTTTAGGATTAGCCTCACCTCTTCATTTCTTAAAAGTTGTATCCTTACTACCTTTAATAAAGGCCTCAATTTACGTGTTCTCATCCTTGATGAAGGTGTGTGTGTAGTGGCCACTATCAAAAAGATCCCTAGAGTGAAGGCAGGAAGGGTGAGTCTCTTAGTTAGCCAAGTAGGCACAATGGTGTCAAGAGGTTATCACAAAGACAAAAATAAAACTCAAAACCAAACCCACTGCTGTCGAGTTTAATTCCAATTCGTAACGACCCTCTAGGACAGACAACTGCCCCATAGGGCTTCAAGGCTGTAAATCTTTATAAAAGCAGACTGCCACATCCTTCTCCTGTGGAGCGTGGGTGGGTTTGAACCACTGACCTTTTGGTTAGCAGGTGAGTGCTTAACCACTGTCCACCAGGTCTCCTCCCAAAGAGAAGGTGGTAGTATATTTTGTAATGGAATTTTATGGCAGTACATGCACTGGGGAGTAAAACTCTTAGGCAGAGAGGCCATCGTTCCGTTATTAGATCCAACACTAGTGATGTGGGCAGAGTTTGGTTACCTGGAAGATACTAAGCTTAGAAATAGTATGTATTTTGGATTTTTATTCACCCCCATATAATAGTGTATATAAAATGTTGCACAGACAAAAGCATTTCTGAAGCTTGTCATTCCTTTGGGATTGGACTATAGACTTTGGGAAAAAAAAAATCAATGGTGGAAAATTTTTCATTATCTAAAGGTAGACTTGATTTGGGGATAGCCAAGTCACCTGAAACTAAGTCTGGTGAAATAAGGTTGGTAAGAACCTGAACATAATTTTTAGTGAAATAACCTATTTCACTCTTACAGTTAAGTATCTATAGCCTCTTAACATGCCATATTCAAAGGGAACCATGGTTACCAGGACAGGCAAGTAATTTTTTTTTAGGTTTTGTTTGGGGGTACATAAATATGTATCTGATTTTATGATAAAAAAGGGAGAATGGGCATAGCTAAGGGAAAACTACAAAATATTCCGCTTCTTTGGAGGCATGTAGAGTCCAGGTAATGAGGTTTCAATCTACCTGCTATGACTTCTGGCAGCTTTTGTATCAAGTGTGTTTGGTAGCCCTGCCTTGACTTAAATGAGTGATGCAGCTGTTGGGAAGCACAAAACAGTGCTGGATTACACACAGACAACCCAAACACACATAGGTTTCCTGGTATGTAAATTCTTTTTGAAGTTAGAGATCTCCTTTTACAGAATTTAGTATATAACGTTAAAAAAAAAAAAGCAAACTTCTTGGCATCCCAATATGAAATAAACTAACTGTGCAAAAGAACCACCATTAAATAGGACATCAAAAGTTATACATTTTCTATGAAACAGTATGTGCACAGACTTTCAAAGCTGTGAAAATGCAATAAAGAGCACAACACATTTTGGTCACTTTATTAAATGACATTAAATAGTTTAAGTTTCAACTACTAAACAGCACTTTTAATGGTGAAAACACAGATAGTATATTGTCATACTTGAATGCTTTTCTTTAAAAACACAATTCCAGTCCTTATATATATTACAAAACAGCCTTAAAGGAAGAAGTGACATCTTTTCTACAGTACTTAAGATATTCAATACAGAATTGAAAAGCAGTCTAACAGAAACAAAGGCAAGTCTTCACAGCTGTATCATTTCAGCAGCCAAAGCTGGATGATGGACTGAAACGTTACTATACAACTGGGACAAAACATATACAATACCACAATACTAAGCAAAAACGCTTTACACCCAAAGAAATAAAACAGGTTACAAAATGTGGAGAGTTTAGCAGGCAAAACTGTATTACAAGCAACATTTTAAATTGTTATTTTTAAGCCACTGCAACTATTTAAAACATCTAAAACAAATATAAAAATGAGCCTTTTAGTATCTTATTGACGTGATTTTCTGTCTTTAAATATTTGTTAAAGCTTGATGTTATACTCAAAGTACATATTATGTAGCTAAAATGTCAAGTGAGAAGAGTGTACGCAAAGTGGTCCAAGTTTTATTTCAAACCCTCTTATTTCCAATTAATCCTTCTATCTATTATTCTTTAAGCTATAGTTTCATCTATGGTGAAAAAGATTTAGAAGGTTGCCTAAAATTTTCACATCTATGTCTTTGAGCAAATAATTAGACCATGTTGAAAATTTCCAGGTCTAGTAAATCAGGTTTAAAGTATTCTGGACTTGTAGAAATACCAACTGATAACAGATGGCCAGAGAATACTGCCTTCAAATATTTATCTCATAAATCTAGTCTTCTTCATTTCTTTAAAAGTAAATGCACATCTGCACCCCCCCCCACCCAATTAAATAAATCTGATTATGTGGCTGGTGTAATATTCAAATATATGAAATTTATTAACAACATCTCACCATGAAGGTGAGGAGTGGAGGAATTGGGAAGGTGGGAGTGGTGTTCGGAAGTGGGCTGGGGGTGTAGTCAGCCATTTTACACCACTAAACTTCACAAATTCTTTATCACAAACCTAGTGTTTTTTGGATGTTTTACCACTAGTTCTTTTAAGATAAAAATGGAAATCTCCTAATCATCCCAAACAACTCAAAACAGTTTTAGCTAATGCTGAACTCATTCTAATCCAGTGATACCTAGAGCAAATCCTCCATCCAGCTTTCTTTTTTTTTCCCTGGAATTCCTTAGCTGTTTCCACTACCTGTTATATCACCATCTCAAAAATGGTTTTGCCACATTGAGTTGACTCCTGCAGTCTAACAATCTTTTCCTTTAAGAAATTCAAGCAATCAAATTATACGTGAATAAAATTATGGAACATTTTTACAGACCTAGATTAAGAAAAAGTAATGATTTTCTAGTAAAACTTTGTAAAAGGGTATTAAATGAAGTAAAACCAATCATAAAAATGCCTCACAGACCTAAACTAAACTAAAAAAAAAAAAAAAAACTCAGAACTTTGAAACATTATTTATTTAAGAAAATGTAGGGAAGGTGGGGTGAAAGAACATGAGAAAAAAGGAGAAGAGCATAGAAGCCAGTGATCCTTATCTTTAAAATGAATTATTTCACAATACTGACAGCACTGGGAATTGTTAAAGCACATTCCTCATGTGAACTTAAAGTCAGCAGTGGTTCTGCCATTTTGATGTTGTTTATAAAACAGGGTGTGAACCTAACAACCACAACTTCAGCATTAACCTCCTAAAATGCTAGAATTTGATTTTCTTAGTCCACATCCCACTGCCAGCAACAGGATGAAGCACTAGTCCTGGCACTAAGCAGTTAAGAGATGTGCTTTATATTAGTGCCAGGAGAGAGAAAATTCAAGTGTGGAAGATAATCCACAACCCTGAAATTTTACCAGTTATTATTTCAGCACATACAACCGAAAATAAAAAATGGCAGAAAGACTAGAGAAGAAAAAAGAATTCTCTTCTCAGGCTGTACTTAAGGCTGTTTATACAATGCTAAGATAAATGCAAGACTCCTCCAAGCTTTATAGCAGTAGTATTTAAGAATATTGCACACAATTCTGTGTCAAAGATAACCTTTAGTTTCTAACTTTTCAATCACAGAGATGATGTAGCAGGAGCCCAGTTTCACACTTCAGTCAAAAGAACATTTAAGACCATTTCAATCACTTTAATCAAGAAATGGATTAAGTACAAAAGTATTTCGTAACTTGAGGAATCAACTCTAAGAACTCAGCTGTGTGTTTTTATCCGTAAAGAACGACTATATAAATCCGTATTCTTTCCTAAATTCAGTAATTTTATGGTTGATAAAAGCAGGCATAAAAGTTTAGAGAGGAAACCTGTGGAGCTGTTACTGTTATGGAAGAACTTGTTTTCACTGAAAACAATTTGAAATATCTTCTGTACTCAATGTATGTAAGAAGATTTTAGGCAACATCACTGACAAATGTCAGGGAGAAACGGTATGCCCTATTAAAAAATTTTTTCTAAACTAATATGGAAGATTGGCATTTAAGGGGACCAAACTATTTATACAGTTGAGTTCTGTTAAGTCATTGATTCCTAAAAAAATAAAAGATCTTTCTATGATTTTAACAATCCTTTAAGCTTTTAGTGCAAAATCACATTGATTTCCCTTGGGAAGGTCCTGGATTTTTGCTTCTCATTGGGGGCGGTGCACGCTGTAATGGTGGTGGCTGCATACCACCAGCCACTGACTGATACATTCCTCTCATATCAATCTGCTGGTAGTTAGAAGGATTCATGATTAGATTTGGAGGCTTTGGCATCATGAGGTGACCCAGTGTTGCTTGTTGATAAGTCATTTGTTGCTGTTGCTGTTGATTATACTGCTGCTGGAGCCTTCTGTTCATAAGTATCCGCTGAACACAACTGATTAACTATAGAGAGAAAAGAGAGTGGTTACAAGTGCATGACCTGTCTCAAAGAAGTAAGTATCAAGTTTTGAGTTAAAATCAATTTGTTAAGGGGGTACCATGCCAAAAGGAAAGTACATTATTGTTATCACCATTACTAATTTGATGGCACTCACAGGACCATTACTGTAGAAACCAGTTAGTAGCACCATTTAGGACTAAATTCTCTTAATGACCTAACTATTGTATTGTAAGTAGCATTTAGGTTAGTTGCCATAGTAACCTGTCCTACACTGGATTAATCTCAAGTATTACTTACAGCACTTTTTCTCATGTCTCCTTTCTTTGTCATTCCTTTGAATATTTCACATGATGACAAATAAACGTTTCTAGTGACAAACACCAAAGGGAAAAGCACTTGCAGTGAAAATAATTGCTACCTGTAATGTCTCAAATTTCCTAAGATAACTTAAAACCACATTAATTCTGCAGTGCTTTCTAAGTAAAATTTATGCCACAGAAATTAATTCCTTGGTGTCAAGAGTTGATACTTCCCAGTGCAAGGCAGATGGCTGGCAAAGGACAGTGCTGGAAAAGATGAGCAAGGATCCTGGAATATGCTAGTCTTTTAAAGAATTATATAATTTAGTAGGAACTTGTGATATGTATCATCCATAGTTCTGACTTTTTACTCTCAAGTAAAATATATTTAAAAAAACCTATACTGAAAGTTGTTTAAAATGGTAAATGTGGTTAAAAAAAAAAAAACTGGCAAAAATTCCTATTTAGATGTCCAGAATATATAAAAAAATGAAATATGAAAGAGATCCTATATAAACTTTAAGGAAACCCATTTGGGAAGCTGCTCCTTTATAACCCAAATAACTTTACTTGACATTATTAGGTTTTTTGACAAAATTTCTTCCAGGAATAACCAATGACCATCCATCTAGAGAGGGGCTAGTTATTGACACAGACGTCACACAAACCCAGTATTATAAATTCAGGAAAACTAAACATAACCTAGAGATAGTCAGAATTCTTACCATCTGTTGTTTTGTCAATACGTCATTGTAGATTGCTTCTCTTCGTTTAACATCAAGCTCCTGGCTGGCTTGTCTACTTAATGCTAAAGCCTGAACTTGGGCCTCTGAGAGATTCATGTTTTCTTTCCACTAAAAGAAAAAATTTCTATTTACTCCTTATTGCAGCAGATTGAAGAAAAATAATTAAGGTATTTAAAAGATATTCAGGATTTTTAAAGTTTTTTTTTCTTCATTTTTTTTTTTAAGGAATATAGTGATGTAAAAGTAGGGTACTAAGTTGTCTACTATTATACATGGATTGGCTATCTTTGGATTGAAATAATTATGTGGATTTACTTTATGCAACTGGTAACTAAAATATGTTTATGTAAACAATGTACACGTATCTATGATTGATTGATTCCTCAATTCTTAGAATTTACCCATTTCTCTTTTGTGTTAACATCTCTATATATATATATTATCCAGTTTATTAGTATTTTACTATATTGCAAATCAAGTTATAAGAATTATGCTGTTTTTCCCACAGAAATAGTGAAGCAACAAAAATAAAAATTAAAACAAATGAAGGGGGGACCACAAATTGGAGGTTGGAGTAAGACAACTGCCAATTAACTTACTACAGCTGAAATTATATCTTCAAGAGGCTGAATCCTCACTGCTGTCACACTGTTTGTTGCTTCCACAACTTTTTCTCTTCCTTGATTAATGAGGTCCTAGAAGAATGCAAGAAATAAGTTATACAGGGCATATACAAGACAGCATAGTTTTAAAGTTTAGGGATCCTTCCCCTTATCAATTTACAGCACTTGGTTTTAAAACTCTTAATAATTCAAAACAACAGCAAGATTCAGCACCAATAAAGTGGAGTAAAACTCATCAATGCCAAAATGATCTTGTTAGGAAAAGTTTGGGTTTTACTGCACCAATAATTTAATAATATAAATGAATCTATAAATACATTTAAAAAGAAAACCACAGATTCAATTAAGTTATTAAACTGTTGGTACAATAAAACCTAATCTTGCTTATTTAATTCATAATTGACTAGTTTTAAATCACTTATTTCATAATACTGGACATTATCATATACTTAATGGTACATCTACATTACATTAGAATATAAATTGATGTATTTATCATTCTTCCACATATTAAGCAAGTTATTTGTTTATTCAGAATATTTTATAACTGAAGAAAGTGCTGTTTTCGTACCTAGTCAGCTGTCCTATTGTTCCTTATTCAAAATAATTCAAACTACATTAATTCAAGGCCTGATTCTCTTGTGCTATGAATAAACCACGTTTTACTACATACTATGTTGGTTCAAAAAGGTCAACAAATAAAAGTTTCTTGGTCTTTTCAGAGGTAATCTTTTGGAGAACGTGATATTCCTGCATAGGGAACCCTCAACAACGGGGCACCTGAAATTGCCTTTAATTCATGTTAAACTACTTTTGTACTTCAAAACTTACCTCCAGCTGTTGATTACTCATTGCTGACAGGGCTCCCAAATTGAAAGGAATATAAGGAGTTTGAGAGTTGAAACTGACAGGGGGTAAATTGGTCCCAGTTGGTATGTTGAAACGCATGGTCAGTCCCTAAAAACAAAAAATTATGTACTTTTCACATTATGATTTAAAACTTGAAATTCTACATCACCTACTAATTTAGGAAAGAATCCACATTCTCAGATCTAGGAAATTATTAACACTCTTCTACACACAAACAAAACACCCTTTTTACTCGAAACCAAGATCTTATTACACAGAAAGCTTTAACCCCTAAAGGTTTACTCTTTTTCTGATAATTCCCACAGAATGGGGCAACTCAGAGAATTCTGATGAGATTCCTAACATCATACTAATGTTAAATAAGTTTGGCACAATGAGTTTAGGAGTTTAAAAAGGATTCAGGTATTAGGATAATGTTTCCCATGCTCAGGCACATTTTTGTTCAAGTGGATTAGTATTTAAAACAGACATGAAATTATTTTAAATAAAGTTGCTGCTAGAAATTTTTGTGTTCTGATACACAGTCAAAATTTAGATTTCATAGCAGCATACTAAAGCAACATTTACTCCCACCTCCAAACAGTTCCTGTATGTTTGTTACTACGATGAGGGTGATGATGGGTGTTAATAATGCTAAATATATAGCTTCCCACTCATGTCTCAATTCAGTGAGGGCTAAGGAGAAATGGAGTTATTACTCTTTAAGCAGAAAATATTATTTTCTTCTCTTCTTTCCTCCCACTTTTCCACCAAAGGTAGCCAAACCCTGTAAAGATTTTCGTATTTGGGGACTGTTCCTGAAGATCCACTGTATTACTACCTATTTCAAATGTGACTCTTTTTTTCCTCACTGCTCTTTCCAATAACTAACATAAAAGCAAAAACTAAAACGTATTTTGAATGAACTACCTTCTTCTCTGCTTCATACTCAGCCCAAGCTGCTTTTCTTTCTTCTTCAGTCAATTCTTCCTCTTCTTTGTGATCCAAAAGAGAATCATGTTCATGATATCCTACAATGTGTTCTTTATGTATCTGAAGAAGTTCTGCAAGTATGGTATCCTGTTTAGAGGATTTAATATAATAGAAAATTATTTCATCTCTCTGGATCATATCTCTATATTTCTATGGTCAACTGTTAGATAGAAACTAGAAACTAGTTGCCATACACATTTCTGATACATATGATAAATTATCTAGAAAACAGTCATAATACATGCAACACCAGCTTTTTATGCAACAATTTCATCTCTGTATAGCATGTGTTAAGAATTCAATTTTTTAAAAACTTTCCACTTTTCAACATTCAGGGTCATTTCCCCCCCAACCATTTCCCTATTTTTTTCATGAACATTTTGTTCTGTGCTTAGTTCAGAGTTGATAGTTATGCTAACATAAATCTGCTTAAATTAGTGATTACATTGGATGCTTGTACTAAAAATCATGGCTATTCTTGTTTATACATATGGAACAATTTTGTTTTCTCAACCACTTTAGCTTCCAAACAATACACAGACAAAAAACAAACTCAATTAGACTAAAAAGTTACAGGACAATACAATGGGAACATATACTCCTTATATTCAACACTGGAGGAAGGTCAAATATAAATTACACTGTAAAGATCCATGAGCCAAATTTAAACTGATGTATATTTTTATCTATTATTATAGTGTCTTAAAGAAAACAACATGGTATCTTCAGTCAGTTTTTTAAGGTTAAAAAATAAAAGTCTAAAAATTGGGATCATTTATATACTTAGTAAGAAAACGAAACTCCTGCTCTGGGTAATTATAATCATGAGAGAGAAAGACACAAGACAAACTGGATGGGGAAGAGGGTTAAAGTGAATTACAGATATGCTACTTACTAATAAAAAATTAAAATATTCACAAGTTGTTTATTAACAACTCAGACATGAAAATCTGGATCTATAAAAGACAAATTAATCCACTTTACAAAAGAATTTTCCATAGCTTTTCTTTTCTCTTTTAAAACTATTTAGATTATAAAAACAATTCATGTCAATCATAGAAATTTCAGAATTTACAGGGAAGTACAAAGAAAGACAAATTTATCATAGTTTCACCATTTGGAGATAAGTACAATTCCCATTATATGTACTTTATTTTCTTGTAGAGTTTTCCATGCACACCTATAAAAATATGTCCACTTTAAGCAAAGCTGGGATTATATTATATTATATGTACCGTTTTGGGTTCTGTCTCATCCCACTCATATCCTTATATAATTATAGAAATTATCTCTTTAATAGTTGCATAATAGTCCCTTGTTTTGGCCACTCAGATATTTTGACAATTTTTAAAATAATTTATTTTATTTTTGTTATTGTTAAGAATATACACAGCAGAATATACAACAAATCAACAGTTTTTACATGTATAATTTAGTGACATTGATTACATTCTTCGAGTTGTGCAACCATTCTCACTCTCCTTTTCTGAGTTGTTCCTCCCCCATTAACATAAACTCACTGCCCACAAGCTTCCTATCTTATCTGTCGAGTTGATGTTGTCAATTTGTTCCCATATAGTTCTTAAAAGAGCATAATGCTAAAAGCAAAACATGTTTTTACTAGTTAAGCTAAACTATTGTTTGGTTTTAAGAAGAATTTAGGGGTATTTCTGGCTTAAGGTTTAAAGATTATCTCAGGGCAATAGTTTCAGGGATTCATTCAGCCTCCATGGCTCCAGAAAGTCTGGATTCCATGAGAATTTGAAATTCTGCATCTTCTCCCTTTTGATCAGGATTCTACTATAGAATCTTTGATCAAAATTTTCAGTAATGGTAGCCGGGCACCATCCAGTTCTGGTATCATGGCAGAGGAGGTAGTTGTTCATGGAGGCAATTAGCCACACATTCCATATCCTCCTGTTGTTGACTCTCCTTCCTCTGTTGCGCCTTGGATGGCCACTTATGGAGTACTGAGTTTCAGTTTATGGTAATGGAAAAATCACATTAAGGGTAGGGTTGCACAGCTGATTAATGTAATTGCTGTCAATAAGTTGTACACCTGTAAAAAGCTGAGTTGGCAAAAGTTGTTCAATTGATATATTTACTACAATGGCAAAAAGAAAAAGTAGCTGCTGAGTCTGCTTATGTACAACCAAACACCTCATGGATTTTGTTCTTTGGTTTGGAGGTTTAGGGTCATGGTTTCATGGGACATCCCAGTTAGTTGGCCTAATAATGTTTTTAGTGCTTCTGTTCTACCGCCTGGAGCCCTGGTGGTGTAGTAAAGAGCTCAGCTGCTAACCAAAAGATCGGCAGTTCGAATCCACCAGCCACTCCTTGGAAACCCTATGGGGCAGTTCCACTCTGTCCTATAGGGTCCTATAAGTCGGACGGCGACGGGTTTTTGATTCTACTCCTAGTTCGTTGCATAGTACCTGGAGTCTTAAAAGCTTGCAGGCTGTCATTCAGGTTACAACAACTGGTCTCTATTTGCCTGGAGCATTTTCCATAGCTTTTTAAAAGCAAGTTCCCCTAGAATACACTTTCTAAATTGAGTGTAGATTTAGTAAAGGAACATAATTACTGATCAAAAGAAGGTATGGGGAAGTATAACACATTAAATTTAAATTTAATCTGTATCTAGTAATGTTTAATACATCTATAGGTTTCAGCACAGACAAAGCACACATTGAGCAGGATTTTGTCTTTACGTCTACAACCACATCTATAACGTAGAGTTCAACACACAGGAGGAACTCAAATGTCTGTTAAATCACTCAAGATGAAAATTTCAAACCATCAGCCCCTAAGTTTTTTCTGTAAAATAGCAAATGGTGACACTAATTCCAAATACTGTGATATCTAGTATCACGTAGTCAAACAATTTATCTTGCTACCCCAAAAACACCTGAAACAATTACTTCTTTTCATGAAAGCAAAGAAAGCGATTTTCTTAACAGATAACAGCTGGAACTGAGGCTTCATAATTCATTTTGATATGCATGTTATTTCCTTTGTTGAAAATAGGTTAACATTAAAAAACCATACAAACAAGAGGGCTCAAGGAGAGAGGGCTCATGGAAGTCTGCTTGTGGAATACATAGAAGTTAACAGGTTTAGTTCTTTTGAAATGTTAACACTTCTCGCCTACATCAGTGTAGAAATCTGCCACCAAAGCTGACTTCTCTGGCTTAAGTCACATGGAACAGGTTTATCATCCCTAGATAGATCTCCAAAGCCCAGTGTTACTGACCAGCCTGCATTAATTCTATTAAAAAATAATGCTTCCTACATGCAAAGATGCTCAACATCATTAGTCATTACCAAACCAAAACCAAGCCAGTTGCCATTAAAGTGATTCCGATTCACAGCAACCCCATGTGAGCAGGGTAGAACTGGACCCTATAGGCTTTCATGGCTGTGACCTTTCAGAAGCAGGTCACCAGGGTTTTCTTCCAAGGTGCCTCCGGGTGGTTCCAAACCTCCAACCTTTCAGTTAGTAGCTGCATGAGTAACCATTCGCACCACCCAGGGACTCCTATCATTAGTCATTAGGGAAAAGCCAATCAAAACCATGAGATACCACTGTATATCCATTACGATGGCTATTATTATTATTTTTTAAAAAAGGAAAATAACAAATATTGGCAACAATGTTGAGAAATTGGGACTCTCATCCATTGCTGGAGAAAACAACAAATGATATGACCAATGTGGAAAACAGTTTGGTGTTTCCTCAAAAACCAAAAACAGATATTACTGTATGACCCAGCAATTCCACTCCTGGCTATATGCCCAAAAGAACTGAAAGCAGGGGCTCAAATAGATACTCATACACTTGATCACAGCAGCACTATTCACAATAGCCGAAAGGTGGAAACAGCTCAAATGTCCATCAACAGATGAAAGGATAAACAAAATGTGGTACACACATACCAAAACCCACTGCTGTCTAGTCGATTCCGACTCACAGTGACCCTACAGGACAGACTAGAACTACCCCATAGGGTTTCCAAGGCTGTAAATCATGGAAGCAGACTGCCACGTCTTTCTCCCACGGAACGGCTGGTGGGTTTGAACCACTTGACCTTTCGGTTAGCAGCTAAGTGCTTTAACCACTGCACCACCAGGGCTTCTTCACATACATACAATGGTGTATTATTCATCCATAAAGAGAAACAAAGTTCTGATACATGCTACGACATGGATGAACCTTGAAAACACTATGCTAAATGAAATGAGTCAATCACAAAAGGACAAATATTATATCCTACTTATACGAAATATCTAGAATAGGCAAATGCAGAGACAGAAAGTAGATTAGTGGTTACCAGGAGCTGGGGGGAGGGGAGAACAGGGAGTTAATGCTTAATGGGTGCAAAGCTTCTGTTTGGAGTGATGAAAAAGTTTTGGCAACAAGTAGTGGTAATGGTTGCACGACATTGTGAGTGTAATTAATGCCACTGGATTGTACACTTAAAAATTGTTAAAATGGCAAATTTTATGTTAAATACATTTTACCACAATTAAAAAAAAAAAAATGCTTCCTTACATGCGTGTCTCTCATGTTCTCCTCCCCAAAACATGACTCGAGAGAATATGTAATAAAACCAGATAACTGAATAATATTTTTAGCAAACAACCAATCCAAATATAATTAGAAAAGTCAGCTGTTCTACAATTCACCAAATAAATTACAAGGTAAACATTTTCTATGATTAGTAGCTAATTTTATTTCTGTCTGGCAGTAAGTGATGTTCTTAATCAACAAGAGTCAAAATCACGACATTTCTGTAAGAAAGCAATCTAAGGGAAAGACCAGTGTACTAGGAACGGAATTTACTTCAGCTGTGCCACTGATTTTCTTTGTAACACTGGATAATAACTTAGTCTAACTCTTGACTGTAAATTAAACATGGATGAAATATTCTCTGTTCCCATGGGTAACAGAATGATACAAGAATAGCAGGAATAAATGAAACATCCAATTCTTTGGAAATAAACATTATGCCAATTTAGTGTTTATTTCTCAATTATAAACATCATGATTCACAATTTATTACTTTTTATTGCTCTTGTTGGGGGAA